ACACACACACACACACACACACACACACACACACAGACACACATTTGGAAAATCAAGCTGTGCGATCAGGTTTTTTGTTAACCAACGCCCGGCGAGGAATAAAACAGATAATATGCTAATTTCATTATGAGAACAGGTGTTGCAGTGTGACACATCATTAATCAATCAAAACTTAACAATGAACTCTCCACTCCGGTGGCCGGGATCTTTGACCTCATTCATGAACGTGGATTCGACAGAGACTGATGAGGTCTGAACCTGGGTTATGAAACTGGGTTAGATCCATGAGATAAAAGGCTGCTCTTTACTCATTTAGACAACAAATGGCATCATCGGCAGACTGTGAACAAACAAGTATCACTTCAATATGTGACARGACTTCTGTATAAGTAACATGAATATCATCGTTTGGTTTATGCAGCAGCCTGAATGTAAAACTCCAGAATTAAACCATGTAGCTGCTATTAGAAAGGTACGATAAAGGAGATAAAACTAAACCAGAAGGGGATAAAAAGTATTTGCAATTGAAAGGCTTCCATCTTTTGTAACAATAAATAGGCATAAAGATTATCTACAGTAAGCAGTCTAGTTATTTTTGTCTCGTTAACGCTTTTGTAAAATTTAAAGTCCAGTTTGTAATATATGCTCTGGAAATGATTCAGGCTTACATCTCCTCAATCAAAGATAACTAATTCTGTACAAGACACAGTCGGGAACATCAAAATGCACATAATGTGACAGAAGGCGTCAAAGAGTGTCCACGTGACAGACCAACTGTTACCCAGCGTCAGCAGCGAGAAAGAAACAGTCTGATCAGAGAACACAACATAATCACACAAACACAGCTTTCTCAATTCAAGTACTTTCAATTTCTCTGTGGATTCAACATATAGCTAAACACTAAAACTGTACCGCTTCGTGCCGAAGAAAACAAAGAATTCAACAGATGAAGTGTAAATACAAAATGACCAGAAACAAAGAAAACTATAGAAAATATTCACACTTACGGATTTTTGAGCTGTTATTTTGTCATTTATGCAGAGCCATTAAAACATTTTTGACAAATTATCTTTTAATAAACTTACTTTGTTTTAAAGCTCTGAACATTTTAAGCTGTAAAACTCCTCTGGTGAATATATGGAGACATTCACTCTGATTAATCAGATCCCTACAAAATAAGCATTTTTATTGAGACTGCATCTGAACAGCAGTTCATTAAAACTTTTATCCAAACAAAATAGCTGTATTTGTATATTTATTTGTCCTAAATTAGTAAACTTTGGTTTTTACCTTGAGACGTCCACTCTGCTGCTTGTGTGGGGTCACGTCAGGTAAGTAGGAGGGCCTTCAGCTTAGCTCAGGACTGATTGGCTGTGTCTCGATTCAGGGGTTGCAGCCCAACTGCACCGCGGCCCATGGAGGCCYCACCCTTSGCAGTTTGTGTAGGCTGCATTAAAGGGCTGTGAAATGAGACGATCTAGTCTTCTGATGACGAATGTTTGCATGACCACGGTGTTATGTATTATCACATGCCCTTAGACTTGCATTGGAACATTTATTCACACATCTTTTCACTCTACGATGAAAAATCCTCGTAACAATTTGCACTAATGTTTGTTAAGTACATTTAAACGCTACAAATTCATGTAATATTTACTCATCATTATCTAGTAAAAGTTATTAAGAATTAAGTAAAAGATTTGTGACTAAATCGGGTAAATTTTACTTAATTTGCTCAATTAAATCTTGTGACTTGATCAAATTAAGTAAAACTTACCTGATTTCAGGATGATGGATGGATGGATGGATGGATGGATGGATGGATGGATGGATGGATGGAT